TGACGACAGAACGGAGAAAAAGAATCCCCCTTCGCATGGAATCGAACCATGCACCTCCTGCTTACCGGGCAGACGTATTAACCACTGTACTAGAAAGGGTATCTATTCTCCGTCTTACGATTGTATGGGAACAATACGATCGTAACACATATTAAATTAACTTCCTTTCTTTTTTTCTCACAATATTTACATAGGTAATACTAATCACCAATCATATCGTCACTATTCTTCTTCATGTTCACAAACGAATACTCTTTCTCTTCTCTCTTCTCCTTCATCACCTATTTCGATTCCTTTAAAATCATCCTCTCAGTTAACAAATTGTAATACTCCTGAGGATATGGCTAAACCTTTAAATAATTCTCCATCAAAAATCATATCACTTTTACCATCAAACGATCATCTTCAAACAATATGTAATTCTCTCTCTGCTCCTGTTGATTCAAAATATTCATCATGTTCAACAATGATCACTCCAACTGCTACACTTATTTCATCTTCTACAACATCATCATCCGATCATTGTTCTGGTAAACAGACAAAAACTTTTTGTTCAAGAAAAAAGAAAAAAACTTTTTCGTTCTTTTCAATCTCAGGTCAACAATTAAATTCTGTTCAATGGACAAAACTTTCATGTCCACCACCACCACCAACAACATCATCATCATCAAGTATAGCAACAACAACGAATAATTCGTTAGAACCTCTTGAAACAACATATGTGGTTAATATTGTACGAAAACTTCTTGAACAACATAACATTGGTCAATGTATATTTGCACGTCATGTACTAAGTTTATCTCAAGGTACTGTTAGTGAATTATTATCAAAACCACAAGCTTGGTCAAAATTAACTGAAAAAGGCAAAGAAAGTTATCGAAAAATGTGGTCATGGACTAATTCTGAAGAAAGTATATTAGCTTTAAAAAGTCTTAGTCCACGTAAAGGTATGAAAATAAACAATAACAAAAACAAAAATTATTTTTGTTATTTCTTCAAATCAATAGGTTCAAAAGATAATACATATCCATTAACACAATAAAAAGTTCTACAAGTTTTATCGGATGAACCAAAACGTTCTCGTACACCATCATCATCATCAACATCATCTCGTGAACATTCTCCTATTAATCAACAATCATTTATATCTTCATCAATGTTTTCAACATTTCCTCCATCATTATTAATGCAAACAACAAATAGACTTAAAAATGACATTTATTCACCATATAATATACTTTATCCTCAACCAGAAAATAATCGAAATTGGTTAATGTTACAAGAAATTGTTCGAACAAATGCTATGATTAAACAATTTAAATCAACAGATGTTGATGAAAATGAACAAGAAAATGAAGATGATACAGATGAAAATCCACTTGATTTAAGTATGAAAATTGATACTGATCAAACAGTAATTAATAATAAACAATCAACAATAAAACAGAATAAAACAATATTAATACCATTGACTGAACAAGATATGATGAAATATCGTCATATTAATACAATTGAATTAGTTCAAACAATAAACGATATTCTAAGTCGTTAGACTATATCACAAAGACATTTTGGAGAAATAATTCTTGGCCTAGCTCAAGGAAGTGTTAGGTAAGTCAAAATAAACAAAGTCTTTCGTTTAATAGTCTAAATACTGTTCTAGTGATATTCTTGCTCGACCAAAACAATGGGAATCGTTAACACAAAAAGGTCGTGAATCATTTATACGTATGCGTTTATTTTTGGATGATCCGAATGCAATAAAACAACTTGTACAAAATGTTTCATTAATATTGGGTTGGCAAGAAATTTTTGTCGTTTTTTTTGAAATTTTTTTTGTTTTTTTAATATCAAGAATACAAATAGCTTAGAAATAGCTTTCAACAATGTGTGCTCCATTGCTATCTATAACTTGTCGCCAACGCTCTGGTAGAGAAAGGATCCCGCGTTCGTAGAAATCCAGTGACTTTAGGTCAAAGAAGTTGGCGATGTCCATCTTGAGATCGCTTTCGTCGTCAAACTTTTTCTCGTTCAAATGATTAGAAAGAGAACGGAACAAATGGTAATCCGTGAGAGCCAAGTCTGGAGAATAGGGTGGATGGGGAACAGTGATACATCCGAGCTCCAATAACTTTTGGCATGTCGACTTTGCTACATAGGGTCTGGCATTATCATGCAAAAAGTAAATTCGATCTTGTTTTCCTTTAAGTTTTTCTGCAACCCGATCCAATTGCTGGCAGTAGAGATCAATAGTGATGGTGCAATTAGCTGGAAGAAGTTCCCAATGAATAATCCCTCTAACTCCCCGCCAAACGCTCATCAAAATCTTCTTTTGGTTAGGGTCATCTTTGGGTGTTGCTACACATTTTTGTCCAGCTTCCAACCACTGCCACTTGCACGTGTGGTTTACATACAACAGCTACTTTTCATCGCCGATAATAAGATTATGGAGCCATTGGTAGTTACGATAACACGTCATTAGTTCCACACAAGCATCAACTCTGTGTTAGGGTTGATGTGGTGACAAGTCATGTGGTATCCAAACTCCATATTTCCACGTTTTGCCTAATTCGACCAGATGTGTTTTCACTGTAGTATGAGAGCACCCAAGACGCTCTGCTAAACACCGGATAGTCAGTCTAGGATCTTCTTCGACAAGCTGCTTTAAGGGATCCATATCTACCTCTAGTGGTCTTCCAATGTGAGGTAAATCGTCGAGTTCAAAGTTACGGTTCTTGAACCGATTGAACCAACGTTGCACTGCACGAATGGAGAGCGCATCCTTGCTCATCGTATGGTATATGTTGCTTGTTGCTTCCGTTGTGTTGTGTCCCAAACGGAATTCATGAAGCAGAAGCACTCGGAGCTCTCTACGAGATATCTTCATTTCTAATTCGAGATCAGCATATATATCCATAGTTTTATTGTTGTTCGAAAGATATTCGCAATCTCTTTATATACCCTAAATATGGAAACTTCTAGAACTTTCTTGACAGTTCTAGGAAATTTTCCAAAAAAACGACAACAATTTCTTGCCAAGCCAATATTAAATGATATATATTCGAAAAATATAATTTCACATGAAAATTCAATTGATTCTTTATCAAATGATTGTTCTTAATTAATATCAAATGAAGATTTATCATCATCATTATTAAATGAAACAATAATAATAAATACTACTACTAATAATAATAAATCAAAATCTCCTTCAAAAACTAATAATAATCAATCTCGACCACAATCAACTACAAAATCACAAGTACCACCATATGAATTACCAATTATACCTTTACCAAGTAAATCATTATGTTTTTTTATTGCATGTTCTTTATTTCTAAATTTATTATTATGACCTATTTAGCTGCGATTGATAGTGGACAATTAAGTGCACAAGTTCAGGAATTACTTTCTTCGTATAGCATAAGTCAACGTGTATTTGGTAGATATTAAACAAAGAAAAAATTTATCATGTTTCTTTTTTATTTATATAGGTGAAGTTGTTCTAAATCTTTCTCAAGGCACAGTTAGTGAAATATTATCAAAACCTCGTCCTTGGCATGTATTAAGTGTTAAAGGTCGTGAACCATACATACTTATGTACAGTTGGTTTCATGATACAGGCAATGTACAAAAATTACTTGGTTGGAAACAAGAACGAGATAGTAAAGATTATGAAATAAATTTTTCTTTTTTTTTTAAAAGCTTTACGACGTACAACACGTACTCAAACAACAATAGATAATATTGATATTGAAAGTAATAATAATTGTTCAAAACGACTATATTCATTTACGGATGATCAATGTCGTGTATTACAACAGATATTTGAAAATGAACCATATCAAAATCAATCAAAACTGGAACAACTTGCTGATGAATTATCATTATCAATAAATAAAATTTCGAATTGGTTTTATGATGCAAGAATGAAAACGAAAACACATATTGTTTCTTTAGATATAGATAAACTTTCAACATCTCCCTTAAATGATGATGATAATAATAATTCATCAACAATTGAACCATTGAATAGTTCATGGTTTAATGATTCTGATAATACAAATAGTCCATTGAGTTTATCAACATCATCAACAAATATTGTTTCTTTAATTGATAATAAAAAATCTTCTGAATCTATGACAACATCAATATCAAGTAGTAAAAAATATAAATCAATTCCAAATAAAATAATAACAACAAAATAATCAACTATAAATTCAACATCAATTGAGAATGATCATTATGATGAAACAACAATTGTGTCAAATTAAATAATGAATGATTTAATATAAATTTTGTTGATATTAATACTTAGGAAAAAAAATGTTTTTTTTTCGTTGTTTTTTTGTTCATTTTCATATAACTAAGGTGATATTAACAGAGAAAAGAAACACAAAACAAAGTGGTGATTTTGTAATATTCTTTTTTTTTGCTTCTTTTTGTGTTTTATTCTTTCGTTCTTTGTTTTTTTTTGCTTACTTTTTCGCTCAAAATTTTTATTGTTTGTTTTGTTGTATTATGTATTTAATGAGTATTGCTCAAGTATTGAAACTAGTCGTGAACAAAACTCAGTTGTTCCAATAAGTGCATATAAAACAAAAGAAACAACATAGAATAATGAATGGCGTGATAGAAATTCTATTTGAATAGTTGTTTTATATTTCGTATTTCGCCCTGTTTTTCTTTTTCTCTTCTTTTTCAAATTTCAGCAAATAATTTCTATTTCAATGTTGTGTATGTGTGCAATAAATGATAATCTATAATACATCTAACTAAACAAGACAATATAAATCATCGTTAGATGATTCATTAGTAGTTCGATTTTTGTTTATTTTTTCTCGAATTAACAAAGAAATTTTTCAAAACAAACTCCTATGTGAAATAACCAAATGTATATGTGATGTTTTTGTTTTCATTTATATATTAAATAAAATTTTCTTATTTCTTTTATTATTGTACAGAATATGTTTTGAATTTATTTATTGCAGGTTTACAGAGCAGAGAGAGAAAGAAAAAAACCAAGAAGAAAAATCTTTTATAGTGAAATTGAATTTTATCTAGATAAATCATATCATATCCTTTTATTTTTCAATTTAAATGAATTAAATAAATTGAATAATTTTATATTTATTTAGGACATTTTCATGAGCTTGATAAACGTTATCGAGATCTTGAATATGCTAATAATGAATTAAAACAATTGAATACTCAACTTGAAAAAGATTTATTGAGTGTTGGTGGTATTAGTGAATTATTTCGACGAGGACCAGAGGTAATTTCTTTTGAATTATATTTTGTTTTTCGCTTCTTAATGAAATTGAATCTAGGGACAACCAAGTGATAGTAGTATAAATGAAACAGGAATAATTAAAGATGTTTTAAATCAATCATCTATATCTTCAACACCATTCAAAGATTCAATATTACCATCGATGATTCCACAAAGAGATTCATCATCGGATGAAGCATTGACAGCTATTGTTATTAGTCAACGAGAACGATTTCGTATTCGAAATGTTGAATTAGAAAATGTAATACAAACACATAATTTATTTTTATGAATCTTCCTTGTTTTCTTTTTGTTGTAGGAAAATGTTTCATTAAAACAACAAATCAATATATTTCAAAATAAAATGGATAAACTTCGATCAGATAATATTAAACTATATGAAAAAATTAAATTCGTTCAAACTTATCTGGTATGAATTTTGATCGTTTTTTTTCATATAATACACTTTTTTTATCTTTTAAAATAATCTACATACATATTCGATAGTCAACACGTGGAACGGATGACTCAATTGATCGTTATTCACGTGGTTATGATGCATCATTAGATCCATTTACTAATTTTACAAAAGAAGTATTCAATAATTTTGATATTAAAAAAAAACAAAATATATTTATTTTTTCTTTGAATTTTTATTTAAAAGGAAAGACAAAAGAAATATGAATCTCTTAAATTACATGAAAAATTTGCTTTAAATTTTGGTCGTTTTATTTTATCATCACATCAAAGTCGAACATTTTTTGTTATCTATTTTATTCTCGTACATATTCTCATCTTTCTTGTAAGTTATATTTATCTTACAAAAAACTTTGAATTATTCAACAAATCTATTTATTAGTCTCTTTATAAAATGGTTCATACGGGTTCATCTGTACGTGATATGTTACAAATTTGTTTCGCCAAGTATGAAAAACTTTCGTTGGATTTGATATCGAATGCTTATTTGAGTTTTATTTAGATTTCGAGAACATATGGCAGGTGCACATGGTGGAAAAGACTTTCATTTGGATCATGTTCATGGTGGAGCAGCAGGTGTAGAATAAACTCCACCACCTCACCGATAGACTTTTGTTTTATTATTATTTTTTTTTTGCATAGAAATGCATAATATATTCATATGTTTTCTTTTTATTAAATATCAATTGAAGATATTATCACATTCTACTAATTAATAAACATTCTTTACACTAACATATACATTCGCTTTTTTATTCATGAACTATTGTACATCATGTTTGTTCTCATCAATAAAAGTCAAGGAAATTCTCTCGTAAAAATTCTTCATGTCATTCGATAACACCATCGGTGATCATTCCATAAATTACAGTCAGATATGGTCACCATGAACTATTCTGTAGATGAAATCGATGAAAACTTTGATTCATTCTTCAATTATTAAACATTAATGTGATCATCGCACAAGACCAATTCTTAAAAAAGAAAACAGGATAACAGTATTCGCTTTCTTCAAAGATTGCTGCATCCAGTAATTAATGTTTTATGGGATATCACGAAAAATTCGTTCAGTAGAATGAGTTCTCGCAAAATGTATCGTTTTGGATGAGACTATCTTATAAACTTTTGACATGTGTGAAGTAGAATCATCGTAACATATTCGATCTCACCTTATGAAACTTGTGCCTTGTCCAATGTCAAAAAAAAGTTTTGAACACATTGATCGCTTTCATGAATATACTTTCTAATTTTAGATGATTGCTTTTTATTTTCATAATTTTATCACAGCCAAGTTTACATCGCAGCAAAATAGATTTGAAAAAATGTCTTTGCCATTGGAAGAAATATTTTCAGAATCATATGTGCGATGAAATAAGATCGACCTAAATTGCGCGAAGTCCCAATGTAAATCTATGATGCAAATGGCATGGAAAGCGTATGTGTTGTCTTGTTAATAGAATATATTCTCGTCACTTCAGTTTTCTTATCTAAATGTGTATCGTCGAAAAATTTTCTCTTAGATTTTACTCTTCAAATTGTCTCACTGACGAACATGTGACAGAAAGGACAACGATAAGAAAAACGAAACTTTCCTTTATTCTTACACCATATTAGGCTCTTCCGACACCCAAATAATAAATACCAATGTCTAATAAAGCTTGTTAATAAAATTACGACAAATTATGTGCAACTATCGGACATAAATAATGATTGATTTATGTTTCAATTAAAGCCGATAGCTTCAAGTAAGGAAAATATTTATTTCATGGATCTAGGTGGTTAGTATCTATAATAGAACATTGATCAGTTAGCATATGCTGATATTAAATAGATAGTCAACATTTTATTAAATCTTTTTATTACATTTATATGGAGTTTGACCAAGGTTGGAGAAATATTCTAAGAGCTTTTGCAAAAATTGTGAATCGGTTCAGCTCTTTTCAATTTTTCTATAAGTGATTAATATACTACTATAGTTTGAATTTGCATCCGCGAAATAGATTTTCACATCTTCTGATTAGTCATCATCAAGATCCGAAAGATTATATTAAATTATTTTGTTTTCTGTTTGCATTTGGTTTAGTTTTCAAATTATTTATTTACCAAGTAATTAATTATGAATTATTCATATATTCAATATAGACATAAGTGGAACACAAGTACAATTTGATTGTCGCATTATACGATTGACTGATATTGATAAAGGACAACTGAGATTTTTAACGTCTATAGATGAATATAAAAGTATGGCACTTGTTACTTCAGAGGAGGCTATTGAGCCACTCAGTCTCTTCTACCAGATATTCAAAATTATGCATATGTAGCCAAGGAGTGGTGTGACAAATCTATTGATGAGTTAACACGAGATGAATCAGCTACTATCAAACTTTATTGAATGGGATGGAAACCACTGGAGGAATGTCTGTGTGTTGCTTTGAATGCAGCTCTACGATTCACAAACAGAAGAAATCTCAAATTGCTCCTGACTGCACTCTCTCGTCTTCCAACTGTTCGATGTTGTACTTTTTTTCGAATGGTGATTTCAGATTTACACGAATATTACAAGCGAGAACAAACGGTGATTTGGTAGGGCTTCTTATCATGTACTACTTCATTCGAAGTTATACCCTATAAACAAAGTGTGGCTGGTACGGGTCCAAAAAACGATGTTCTGCATCGAATGCAATGCAGCAAGAGATATTCAAAAACATTATTTTAATTCGTCAGAAAGTGAAATACTTATTCTACCTGGAACTCAATTCAAAGTTATCGAATGTTTAAATCAGGGTCTTGATCTTTATGTGATTCTTCTCAAAGAAATTCAATCGTCAGTAACACTTTTGGAGCATTCGTTCCAGCTTAATAATTCGCAGAACGAATCAACTACTTGTCAGGGATTAATTACGAGAAACTTTCCATATTTTAAGACATTACATTAATGCAATCTATTTTCGGCATTAGAAAAATTTTATTAGAAAGTAATGGAACGAGGATGTTAACACATGAACGGTTCGATTTGGCTCGTTTGAATTTTCGCTTCAGTTCAAGGTCATCTCTTCATCTAAGAGAATTCATATTATTTTTGAATCAGGAGTTTTTCAACAAAACGTAAAAAACCCTTTAAGAAAAATTTAAAACATTTCCTAGACTTTTCACTTTATATTTGAATAGATTTTACGTAGATTATCTCTTAAAAAACTACAAACACAAGTACAACTGTTGCTGAAGTGCGTGGTTTTGAAATTATTGAAATGGATACAACATCTCCAAAACATGGATCGGACACCTAGTCGGCCAACTAACATCCAAAGGGTGAAAAATTAGTAGTACATATTTTACTATGTCGATCGAAGTCTTACGATTATATTTTAGTGACTAATTTTGTTTTTTTTTTAATTTTAAGTTTTATTTTGCAAACTCATCATATGTATGACTTCTTGTCGAAAAATAGAACATTATTAGCTAGTAATTTTTAATTCATGAAATAATAACAATGTTACATGTGCATATATACAATGAAAATAATTAAACAATCTAATGATAATGATACGCTAGAAAGAAGAAAATGAGTAAAGCACAATTCTGCTTGACACCAAGACTATCAAATCATCGGTCGATCAACACAATTGCTTTCATGAAATTTATCTGTTTAAGATGTGAAACAAATCTCATTTACATTTTGACAAAATGACTTGGATTGTGTTTCAAAAAGCTAATTTTAAACCAAGTACATTTTATCATTGGTTGAAAATTTTTTGAATACATTTATGAAAGTGATGAAGTTGATTTATCACTTTGAGTGTGAGTGTGTGAAAGCGAAGAATCGACTCCTATCCACACTTTCTTCATGATATGAAAATTCTCCAAAAGAATTTAATTTACTTTTCAACATTAAATGCGAACAGTTTTCTAATATGATTATATCTCTTCGCTTCATTAAGTTCGTCTTTTCTTCACCTAAATAAAAAACAAGATACAAATAAGACAGAAAACGAAAAAAAGTAAGCAATGAATGGAAGAAAAAGTATAAGTGATGTTGTGAATATGCTTAGCTCATTTCAGCTTGGAAAACATTAAGACAGATTACATCAAAAATTAGTCTTAAGAAACAGGTGTTTTTTTAGATAACATGCTCTCAAAAAACTGAATTTTTGAAATTTACACGATTGAAAAAACTTTGTATTTCCCTAGCAGTCAAAAATAAGCAAATAACGCGTTATAACGAACGTTATTTTATTTTATTTTAACGAATTTTANTACAGTTTTTTGCTAACACCTAGATAGTGAGTTTTTTCTTCTAATTTACTTAAATAGAGTGAGAACCATTAATAAGACTCGTCGTGTCAAATGTATTGCATCGGTTGAAGTAAGAATCATCTTAAAGGATCAAGAAAAACTAATCTGTGTGCTTTTCGAGCTTCGGGATGCCATCGTAGTAGTAACGATGAATTTGCATCCAAGTACGCCATTTGCACCACCACCAACTCGATGGCAACAATGCAGGATCAAAGTTTATTTTCCGAACCATGACACCCGTTACAACTACACCTTCGCAAGATTTTATAAATCTTCCTTCCTGCGCTTTGAATAAGAATTCAAGATCTTCATTGTTTGGAAAGTTTGAATCGATGTCACCTTGCACGCCAACCTTGAGCGTTTCACGCTTTTTTAGAGGCTGCAATTTTCTAGTGTCAACTCGCACCTCCAGTACGAACTGAAAGAACAGACTGTTGTGTAAAATGACGCGTGCGTACCTCGGATGCGAAGAATACTGAATACTCGGAGAAAGGTACAGCGCTGGAAACCCATGTTGGCATTCGCGAACTCGAAATCCATTTTCAACAATCTTATGAATATTTCTTGGATCTGTACCGTGGTACAGTGTGGGTGTGTGTGGGTGTGGGTGTGGATGTGATTCTTGATATACCCACACCCACACCCACACCCTCGGTTAAATACCGTTCGTATTTTGCTCATAACTTTTGAAGGAATTGAGATAAAAAGTTCGGTCTTTCCTACAATTGTAGAGCTTATGTTAGCACTTCTAGTGGACTCATCAAAGTTTAAAATTGATCCTATCTTCATAGAGCAATAGGCTACTCTTTCAAGGGGACAATGCATCACTAGTTATTAATGAAGCAAATCTCAGCAATTGTACATGAATAGATGCAAGAGATGTTCTTGTAGCTATCACAAGTTATTCAAAAAAAAAAAAACACCCGCCTTCTTTTTTGGAATAGGCAGTAGTATCCTTTCAGATGGCGGCTGTAACATTTGAGGTAGTGTTCACATCACCATAGATAAAACCTGTATCATCCCGAGGGCACCAAATGGACTGCTCCTAGCAATTCTTACATCATATCGTACGATTTTAGCCTTCGAGCCGAAATCTGCACCATCTTATCTAACATCGATACTAACATACGTGGTAACCATAAGGATGCCACCGAAAATATCCGTTATATCTACCAATAACCCAGGCTTCTAGATCATACCTTTCCTCTGGCATCTTACATCTGTAACATGCCAGAAAATATTTGCACAATTCCAGATAAAGTCTACGAACCAACGCGAGTGTCACAGCAACGCAGGAAGCGTTTAAAATGACCAGTTAAACCTTCAAATTTGCCACTCCACAATTTTCATCTCCCTGCTCTACAAGTATCAACCTTAACAACAGAGGAATTTATTAATTTCAGTTATATAGAATTCTAACCTTTTCCGTTTCTCGCCGACTTATAAGACTGTCTCAATTAAAATAATAAATTCATACTTACGATAAAACTTATCTTTTTCTTTTTTGCTATTATAAGATGACTGATTATTTTTTTCATTTATGTTCGAGCTCGAATTAAGCATCTATTCAGTTTTTGGATATTATCTTCTCAAAGTTTATAAGAAAGCAAAGTTAAATTAGCCATTGCGTAAGCCTTGAAAAGTATTGTTTTTTACCTATTATTAGAAAATTTTCAGCCAGAATTGTCGGAAGGAAGAATTTATTATTTTTTTTGCCAATTTCTCACGAAAATGACGATATTTTAATCAATAATTTCAGCCATCCAAGAAAACAAGATTTGGTCATTATTTTCGAATCTTTAAGGTTTGAAAAAAAAACTTTTCTTTTGTGCAGCCACGCAAAAACAAAAAAAATTGTTGTTATTTTTCGTTTGATTGCGGTAAAGCTAATCTTTGCGTCGAATATTGAGATTCCTATGAATTTTGCTCTACATGATAAGATGGAGCGCATTTGAAACTGGATAAAATATCCTGAAGCCGCTTTCTAATGCTTGTGAAATCATTTGAAGAAATATTTGAAAAACCTACTTAATTTTCTCATACATTTTCGTATTTTTCATAATTTATCATCATATGTTGCATCTTTGAATCCTGCAGTGAAACAGCCAATACATATAAATCTTTTGGTAAAAATAGTCAGCTCAATCAATTTCAAAGAAAACAAGAAATTTTGAAAACATCATCAGTGCAATTATTCATAGGCTACCCGCTATATTACAGCGAGAAATATTTTTACTATTTTTTTTTGCCTTCGGTACACCTTAGAAAAATTACATATAAGTGATAAGACTCAAAAATATGTTGTAAACATCTGTGTATTGATGTAACTGTTGCTATTCGCCATTTGACGATATCGAAATTCGATAAGATCTGTGTACTCTCTCGTTGCATACGGTTTCCAGCTGAAAATCCAATGATGAGCAATTGAAAAAAAGAACATTTCAACACAGATCAAAACATTTTCTAATAAAATTTTTTCTTGGTCAATTGTAAATCCTGTTACTGAACCATAGCAATAGGCATTGACTAGTGGATCACATAGAGTATTTCGAAGTACTCCAATGGTTGCAAGACCACTCATTAGAACTGATTGCCAAAAGATAAAAAACACAAGAAGTTTTATCGTAATAAATTTTGCTAGTGGTTGAAATTTTTTTAATTCATCTTTCATATTGTTGTAGAATGTTACTAAAGTGTAAAGAGCTAATGTTTGACTTATATTAATAATAATTATAATATATGGATAGCCTCGATTAAATTGCCATACACCATTATTATAGACATTTGCCAAATTCAAAACAACGGCTATACCTGAACATATGGGTGTAATCCATGAATATTGTAGAAGACCGATTTTAAAATACCATGCCCATTTTACATTTGGTGCTGGTTTACAACAACATCCAAATGGGCATACCATATCAATATTTTCTTTGTTTAAGATAGCTTCTTCTACACCTTGATGACCACCAAGATATTTTGTTAGTAAAAGAAGAAAACAATAAACAACATAGGCTTCATAACAACTTCGAATAAACTCCACATAAATAGCTGCTTCGAAAAATAGTAGACAGAGCCAAGCGGTCAAAGCATATACAGGTACCATACCCAATATTCGCATGACTCGTTTCTGAGAAACTCTATGAGTTCTGTGAGCAAAATGTTGAATTATCTGAGTCAGACTCATTAATGTTGAGACAATAGCAAAAATACCACCAATAATACTCATGAGTGCTTGTTCATGAACAGGATCTTTATATATTTGCCATTGAACTGGACTATTTACTACCCATACAATGATCAGAACAATAGCACAACCGACAATAGCAAATACACCCCCTGTTACTTCATTTGTAACAATTGATAATACTTTTTCACGAAAACTAAGTTTATGCCACGGCTCAAACATTTATTGATTGATAGAAAACGACAATTGTGATGGATAAATTCCAACTTTGAACAGTATCTAATGAAGAAAATAAGAATTCATTATCGAAAAATTTCTGCAGAATATCATGAGACAAATCAGTGGACTCACTATTCATATGTATAAGGTTTTCTGCATTCTATGGATATTTTTCATTGAAGAAGAAAAAACCTCACTGTGATGTTTATACGTGCTGAATTGAGTATTGATATGCTTCTCTATTTTGTTTTCCTACTACTATTCTTTTTTGGGCTCGATGGACATTGTCACATCTGTCGTTTATGTTTTTTTCATTCTTTTTCTCTCCATTAAAAAAGATGCAGAGCGCTGATTCAATAAATTCAGAGAAAAAAAAAAGGAAAAAAAAAGAATAAACCACATAAACGAGTAGTGTTATTTAAATATAATGACGGACGAGTGAACGAGAAAAGTGAAGAACAAGCAGTTATACTTGTCGACAGCTTTTAATGGCATCATCACATGATTATTCCTAATGCAAAAATTCAGAGTGCGTGGGTATGTCTCTTGATACATTAGTAAAATGTAAACAAAACAATATTTTACATCAATATGAGTAACGGATAAAAATTAATTATCGAATTATGATAGTATGCAATTGTAAAATCCGCTGTCAACGTGTGAATTATTATTTATCAATTGAAATTGAGGGAAATTAATTGACGCTTACCAAAGATCGAAACCGAATCGAATTGAGATTTTTTTTGAAGAAATCTACTAGGTCAACTATTGTTTGTATTTTATTTTAAAAAAAAGGCGATTTCTATTGATTTATTTTAAGATAGATATTTTTAGAAGAAGCAAATATATTTATAGCTGCTTTCATGTCTATTTCTCTTTGCACATATTTAGTAGGAGGTTTTTAATTTTATGCAGTATTTAGAGCAGTCAATGTTTCGCGCACCATTTTAGTCGACACATAGATAGAGTTCTATTATTGGTATGATGGATAGGGACCTGCAGAGTTATACTTTTTTGACTCTGATTCCAACGTCTACTCAATCGGAGTCAAAATTGGAGTTCAGAGTCACCTGCAGATCTCTAATGACGAGTGTTTTCTTTTTCGAGTAGATGATCGACAACAAATTTATAAGTAATTGTAGATTTAACAATTTATTACTCTGCTACATATCCTGATTCGCTAATTAATATGACAACTAACTTTGAAAAACTTAATATCGCGGTTGTTTATTTCAAAGTTTATGGAATTGATCCAACCAAGTTTAGGAAATTATTCAAATTCAGAAACTAATATTCGTCGTTGATCGATAAATTTAACATAGAAACATACAAAAACTTCAGTAAAATTTTATGTTAGATGTACATACATTTTTCTTATGACGAAGATGGAATTCTCTTTTTTTCGGTATGAATCAAGTCGAATCGATTTTTTCTTATTTATTTCGGTCTCTATTACGTACTCACACATTTTGACATGAGAACATTTTTTTGTCTCCTTCTCTATCGTTTGAGATGCAGCATTTTTAGATATTGTCTTTGTCATAAACTAACGATGCGAGTTGTTTGCCGACAATGATGTATGTGGTAATAACAACGAGCACTTCCTCAATATGTACGGTCACCATCATTTTGGAATACAGTCAAAACAATCACTCGAAATTATCATCTATTAGTGTGTAAGTTCTAGGCTAGTACTTCATATAAAAACCTTTATCTAAAAAAAAGCTACTATTAAAGTCGTCTGCAACCTCCAACATTAAATTTCATTACAGTGTATAGCATCTCTCTGAAACTTTACACAAATGTTGAGCCCATAGAAGAAAAGTTACAACATTTTTTAAATTTCTCTCAACCACAATGTTCAGAAGTTTTCTGAAAATCAAATTTCAAAAGGTATCCTCGATCTATAAAATTTTTTTCATTATACTTCAAGGTAGAGGACTCGAGTTTGTTTTATTTGAAAGAGAACTTTTTACCACTTCAGATGAGAGGAAGAGATTTTTCATCGTTGCTTCAAAACCTTCAAGATCTGGAATAACTATCATAGAATTCTCAGAGAGTTGAAGTTTTCTACAGGAATAGAATATAATTAAAAATTTTCTTCTGGTCATCCGAAGAAAAATCGAATGCCCTAATCAGTAAAAAGAAACGCAATTGTCTAGAACGAAGTGTATTGAAAAACAGAGTTGAACGGAGATTCACACCGTTGACATAAAAACCGGTTATGAGGGAAATGCAAAAACTTTTTTTGTGCATTTTATTGACTTATCTCTGAACATTAACATACTACATGGCGATATCATATATCAATCGGTAAATAATCAAGATACATATGTCTATACTTCTAATGACACATGCAACCCGTAGAGGGCAGCAATATTTATGGTTTTCGTCTATTTTTATCTAAATGTCGCCTATGAATATTATCATAGAGTTTTTCGGAAACTTTTATTAGTTATCTTTGAAACATTTCAAAGTTAAAATTTATTTTTATGAATATTTAAAGTAGAGATTTTTGATGACATTCCCGTATAGTTTTTTCAAAAATCTTTTTCTTGACGGAAAACAAATTTTGGGAAGGAAAGACGTCTTAAAGTACTTTCTTTTCTATTACACAATAAGTAAAAATAGTATTTATAAATGAAAAATGCTTTTTATTATATCTGAAAGTAATAAAAAGTACTTATGCTACTATACTTTTGACTAATAAACTATCTTAAGTAACATATGATGCAAAAATAATTGGACGAATGTTAGACTCTATTTCTCTTCGATAGAAAGATACTACAAGAAAAAATTTTTAACCCAAAGACAGAATTTTTTTCCTCTTTCAAATCGAAGAAATACTCTTAATAACAATCTGCACTTTTCTGTCACAGAACGGCACAATATATCGATTTTATATCTTTTTAATAAATAGATTTTGAAAAGAATCTTTTTTTTTCAATAGATAGGACATTTTTTCCTCTATTCGAACAGTTTAAGATTCGCATGTGTCATGTATTAGTAAGTGAAACGAAGCAAGAAAAAACAAAAACACTAGCGAAATGATTAGTTCATAATATTCGCAGTGACCACCATCTGACAAGATCTTTTCTAATCAGCTCATAAAAATAGCATCACTTGTCGTATAACAAGATGTTTTGTATGATTACATATAAAATTCTAGATTCATTGCACAAGTATTTTTCCGACTCATTTTATTTACGAATATAAATGTGTGACGAATACAAATCATATTGTTCAAAAGAGAAAAGAATTTTCTATCAACGGATAAAAATAGATTTATTTCAAAATGTGTTTGCTGAAGAGTTACAGAGAGCTACATTTTTCGCTGTTTTTTTTTCTAAATTTTACAAAAAATACGGAATGTTTTTTAAAGGTGTTTGTTTTTCCTGCTCTGTTCCTACATTTATGAAGACATTACAAAAAAAGTAAGCTGCATAAGATTCAAATGAAGTGAAATACACTTCGATAGTACGGGTGTGAGTGTGGATAACGAGAAAATCAAAATCTGCGCCCGTACTCCACACTTATATCACTCAAAAGAAAGCAAATCTTTACAAATTGCATAGAAAAAACGTTTGCTTTTAACTTATTTCTCGAAAATTGTTCATATTGGTCATAAAACTTGAAAATTATAAAAAGCTAACTGTATATATATGGATAAAATAATCAATGCTCTCTCTGTCTCTTATCATGTAGAAGTAAAAAAATTCTCAAGTTTTCAAAATATATGGTATAACGAAAAAAATTAGTTAAAAAGAGTGAATGGATATGTAAAAGCTGTCTACTTCTTGCAAGATTAGGAAAAAATAAATCAATATTTTTGCAAAATGAGAATATTTTTTCTGACAGAAGCAGAAAGATATACAATATCAGTCATTCTTCTCTTTTCTTTTTCAATAGAATTCAATTATTATTTATACTTCGGACGATCGGACTCATCAGATAAAGTGACTTTAGTATTCAATGTTTATTTATTGATTTTATTCGGATTTTCTATAAAATTTTATCTTAATTAAGTAATATTTCAGTCATATAATTAATAAAACGTTTATTTTCTTCTGCTAATTTTTACATAAACGAATTTCATTTTTATCATTGGAAAAATAAATCAGAAAAAAAAATAATAATATATTATTTGTAAAATTTTCTGCAAAATATTCAATAAACAGCATAGTTCATTGATATTTTTGTCATATTATATTGTATGAATTATATTGAATGAAGTTAATTTTATCTATTTTAGTTTTTCTTAAATAAAAATTAATATCTTTATTATTTGTTTTATCTATACAATAAAATGAGTAAGAATATTTAAGGAAGTATCATAATTCTTTTTTATGTCGAATTATTGTAACAAGTTGATTAAATCATTTAAATCGATCAACAAAAAATAGTTT